TTTCTTTCTTCCAAAGTGACTTTAATTGATGAAATCTGAAGGATAGGCAAAAAATGCCACAGTTAATAACGAAAGTGATTTTCCAGTGTTTCTCTGTTTGGAGGAAGGTCAAAACACTTTCAGGTTGACTGATTTGGAAAAGTTACATGACTGAAAAGTGATTTGTATTATAAAATCTAGTGCTGCAAAAGATTTAGATAAACAAAAGAAAAGGAAGGTGGGTCTTTTTGAAAACTCTGGAAGTGTTTTGGGGCAGTGAATGATGTAATTTGAGGGTAGAGACAAGGTTGTTTAGTAGTAAGAGTTGTAGATGGGGAAAGATTGGGTAATATTCGGCATTTATTCTTGATTGTGTAATTAGTGTAATTCTCTGTGTGGGTTTTCTAGTGTTGTTGGGTACGTAAATCAGATTAGGCAATTTTATAAAAATCTCAGAGAATGAGGGAGACGGAAAAGCTTAACTAGGAAAATGTATGTAGGTGTAGCTGAATGAAGTGACAAGAACAAGGGCGGCTTGTCTGAGCATGTTGTTTCTGCTCAGGGTTCTGCAGAGTGGTTTGATTGAACTCCACTTACCAGGGAAAGGAACAGAAGGAAATAGTGTTTGCGTGGAATTGTGGAACAAAGCGAGAGACACTTCTTTATTCACTTTCTGTGCTGACAGTGAGCCTGTCTGGGAGTTCTCCTAATGTCCATTCAGACGTCATTTCTGCCAGTTTGGCTTCTCGTGTATAATTTGAATGTATTCCTTCTTCGTCCCTTATGTAGTAAAGGCTGTAATTCATGCTCCAATTCCAGTCCAATTCCAGGCTGCTTTATCAGTTTCCCAGTTGGTATCCCTTCCTTTGGGGCCTTTCTCTCTCAAATCCAGTTCCTACACAGCGACTACACCAGGAGCTTTCATACCTTTTTTTTTTGACTAAATACACTTCAATATACAGAAGTGTACTTTATATTGAAACCCAGTATATGTTCTGGTGTAGCGCTATAGGTTAAGCACTGGACTGCTAACTGAAAGTTTGGCTGTTTTAACCCACCAGCTGCTCCTCAGAAACCCTACACAGGGTTGCTGTGAGTCGGAACTGACTTAACACCAGCAACAACATATGTATGAATATGTGAAACAGAAGTTTCATAAAAAATTCCTCACCTTTACTATGTGCTGTGCAATCTGATATTTTCTATTTTTCTATATTTCGCTTTTTAAAAATGTTGCTCACATCCACTGAATTCATTCCAGAACCAGAAAAATGCTGATTTGAACACTGATATAACTATGTTCTTTTGTTTAGGGCTTTTTGATGGCTTCTTGCTGTTTATATGATAAAGTTGAAGCTCCCTAACACCAACATACCAGAACTTTCTTATGGCCTATTTGTTACTTTGTCCACTTTCTGGCTCATATTTCACTTCAGTAAATTAGTATAACTTTTTATAGTCCCTTACACTGTGCCTTTGTTAATACTGTCCACTTTGTTGAAAATCATTTTACACTACCATCTGCTTCTACAGCATTTACTAATTACTGCTGCTGTTGTTGTTAGTCCCATTGAGTTGGTACCGACTCATAGCGACCTTATGTACAGCAGAATGAAACACTGCCTGATCCTGGGCCAACCTCACAATTGTTGCCACACTTGAGCCCACTGATGCTGCCACTTTGCTAATCTGTCTCTCTGGGGGTCTTCCTCTTTTTCTCTGACCTTCCACCTTACCAAACATGATATCCTTCTTCAGCGACTGGTTCCTCCTGACAATATGTCTAAAGTATGAGAGACAAAGTTTGGCCATCCTGACCTCCTCTGGCTGCACTTCTTACAACAAGGATCTATTGGTTCTTTTGGCAGCCCACGGCACTTTCAATATTCTCCTCCAACACCTTAACTAAAAAGCATCAATTCTTCTACGGTCTTCCTTATTCACTGTTCAGCTTTCACATGCATATGAGGGTCATGCATACCTTAGTCTTCAAGCTGACATCTTTGCTCTTCAACACTTTAAAAAGGTCTTGTGCAGTACATTTGCCTAATGCAGTACGCCCTTTGATTTCTTGACTGCTGCTTCCATGAGTGTTGATATTTGAACCAAGAAGAATGAAGTCTTTGACAACTTCAGTCTTTTTTCTGTTGATAAGAATGTTATTTATTGGTTCAGTGGTGAGGATTTTTGTTTTCTTGACATTGAGATGTAATCCATACCAAAGGCTGTGCTATTTGATCTTCATCAGTAAATATTTTAAGTCCTCTTCAGTTTCAGCAAGCAAGGTTGTATCTACTGTATGTCGCAGATTGTTAATGAGTCCTCCTCCAATTCTGATGCCATGTTTTTCTTCATAGAACCCAGCTTCTTGTATTATTTGCTCAGCATACAGGTTGATTAAGTATGGTGAAAGAATACAACCTTGTTGCACACCTTTCTTAATTTTAAACCATTCACTCTTCCCATGTTCATTCCTACTAATTTTTAAGTCTTAACTCAGGTACTAGTAACCACCAGCTCTCTCTTGCTCCATCCCTCATTACCTGACTGGGTTAGTTATTTCTCCATAATACATGTGATTTTCTCTGTTATTTCACCTGTTATCTGTGTGTGTTTTAATACCACACTTGTTGTTGATAAGTTCTGTCGAGTTGGTTCTGACTTATAATGACCCTGCTTAAGGTTTCCAAGGAACGGCTGATGGGTTTGAACTGCAGACCTTGTGGTTAGCAGTCCAGTGCTTATCCTACTGCACCACATCAGGACTCTAGTATCCCACTAGACTGTGAATATTTGGGAGGGTAATTGTTGTCTCCCATTAAATTTATCTCAGATCTGGCATGTAGCATGTTGTCATAGTTTGGATGAATGAAAACATGGAAAAAACATCTTACATCTGAAAGGAAAACTCAACTGGTAACCCTTAAGATCTTTAACTTAGATTTTGTGATTATATTTCTAGGTGCTTAATTTTTTACATTTTCATATACTTAAAATGTGATGACTTCTGTGCAAGGGATAAATTTCACAGTTTAAGGATAGACCCTTTCTGCTTTAGATATTCTCTCAAGGTTTTAGTAATGAAAAACTTACTGTTGTGGTAATGGTCTATAATTTCACTATACCTGAGCTCTGGTAGCGTAGTGGTTATGAATCGAGCTGCAAACCTCAAGGTCAGCAGTTCGAAACTACCAGATGTTCCACTAGAGAAAGAAGAGGCTTTCTGCTCCTGTGAAGATTTACAGCCTCTGAAACAGGGTCGCTATGAGTCGGAACCGATTCTATGGTACATAACCACCAACCACCAATACTATTCCAAAGTCTATGGGTTACTGTGCTGGACTGAAAAATCATTTGAACTGCAAAGTCAGTGGTTCTAGCTCACCAGCTGCTCCTTGGAAACCTTATGCAGGATCTTTATAGATTGGAAGTGACTCAACCGTCTAACAACAATATTATCCCAGAATTTACAGTGTGGCAGAGGACAGATGGCATAAATATATGACTCTTCAGCTTTAGGTGTTACATTGAGTGGTGAGTCAGAAAATGCTATCAAAGTTTAATGAACCCGTTTGACCCAGGTAACACTCATAAGCCAAGAATTAAGGTAAATGAGGAACCACTGTCCTGCCGCCTAAGCAGCACTGTCCAATTCTGTGGCATCTAAGAAGGAAATTAGATGAAATCGATTTTAGGCATGGAAAGGATGGATTGTTTCTCTGAAGTTCCTGGGCTGTGCCTCTGTGCCACTCAGGGGAGCCTGACAATTACATGTTTTCAGCTGGGTTCTGCCTAGATTGCAGATGGGGAATACTCCAGTGAGATAAGAAGATAGCGATCTTGTTTTAGGTCTCTGGGGTTCAAGGTCAGTGACAGAGGTGGCAGTACTGGGAACTCCAGCCACTTCCATATGAATGGGGCTCAGAGACTGTATAACCACTGCGTCCCTTTTGCTTCTGTGTTCCAGCTAGCAAGTTTGTAACCTCCCTGTGTGAAATGTCTAGAGTACTTTCTGTTTATCTGACTACAAAGAAAATGAGGCTCTGATAGGTTAGTAATTTATTTACCCATGGGATATTGCAGTGGTCTGAGTGAGTATGGGTAGCACGTTTTTGTTACTGTAAAACTAAGTCTTCACAGTGTGATGACATTAGAACTTATAGTGCCTTTTATTTTTTTTTTAAGAAGAGGGAGTTGTAAGAGCTGCCACATATTCATCATATTCATATAATGTATGAATTACCAGTTTTCAATTTATTATGTGTTCTTTTTGTTTTATGTAGGAGATAAACTGTAGCTATAGAAAGTGTAGAATATTGGCATATGACCCTATGACGGGTCTTGGAATTTCTCCTTGGAACATTTTAATCCTTTAGGTTTTCTGTTGGGGGTTCTTTGAAAGGTTAAGATTAGAAAAAGTGGCCTTGTTTAGGTTGGTTTGGATGGGCTATGGTTTCTCTTTTGCTGGGGTTTTCTTTAGACCAGTAAAGTATGCAATGTTTTGTGATCTCACATTATAAAGGTAATATAATAATTGAATAATCAATTTATCTATGATGAATTTTTAACGTGGCCAAGGATAGGTCAAGTAATTGCTTTCTGATTTGTCAACCATATTTATTTTAAGTCTTAAGATGCCCAGTTTTAAATAAAGTGAAAGCTTTGTGAAGGAATATATGTAATTTTGGAGTCCTGGTGTGGTACTGTAGGATAAGCACTGGTGGACTGTTAACAGCAAGGTCAGTGGTTCACACCCATCAGCCACTCCTAACAAAGTTGGTGAGTTGGAACTAACTCACTGGCACTTAACAACATGCATTGTTTCAAATGATAGTATTTCATTTCTACCATAATTGCCACCTCCATATACTTAAAAAAATTGACTGATTTAAATAAACTATACTTATTTTAATTTTTAATGAGAGCTGAACTCTTAATATTCTTTTCTTAATTTGTTAACTTGAAAATCAGCAATTTATAATCTAAAACAATGTTGTTGCTTTTTTGTTTTGTTTTATTTTCCTTTTTAAAGCTCTTTCACCATGCCTGGGTCACTCCCTTTGAATGCAGAAGCGTGCTGGCCAAAAGATGTGGGAATTGTTGCCCTTGAGATCTATTTTCCTTCTCAATACGTTGATCAAACAGAGTTGGAAAAATATGATGGTGTAGATGCTGGAAAGTATACCATTGGTTTGGGCCAGGCCAAGATGGGCTTCTGCACAGATAGAGAAGATATCAACTCTCTCTGCATGACTGTGGTTCAAAATCTTATGGAGAGAAATAACCTTTCCTACGACTGCATTGGGCGACTAGAAGTTGGAACAGAGACAATCATCGACAAATCGAAGTCAGTGAAGACTAATTTGATGCAGCTATTTGAGGAGTCTGGAAATACAGATATAGAAGGAATAGATACAACTAATGCTTGCTATGGAGGCACAGCTGCTGTCTTCAATGCAGTTAACTGGATTGAATCCAGCTCCTGGGATGGTATGTTGCTTGCTTTTATTCCAAAAGAAAGCTCTCATTGAGGGTGAATAGGCCCAAATTACCTTTCAATTAATGCCACTTGCCAACTTTCACCAGTTATATTGTTTGAATATATTCAGAAAGATGGCTGTAACTTTTGCCTTATCTGAATTATAAATTGGTTATCTTTATCCTGTTGGATAAAATGATTAGTTCGAAATTCGATTGGAACATTTTCTTCCTTTACCAAAGATTAGGAAAGGATATCCTCGGGGCAGTATAACAGACTTAATTTTACATGTATGATATTTATAGTGTTAAATTATTTTCTTGTGTTTGGTGAACTAATAAAAAATATCTTGCAGGACGGTATGCCCTAGTGGTTGCAGGAGATATTGCTGTATATGCCTCAGGAAATGCAAGACCAACAGGTGGAGTTGGAGCCGTTGCTCTGCTAATTGGGCCAAATGCTCCTTTAATTTTTGAACGAGGTGAGTGTTTGGGAAAGTTTTGAGTTTTAGCACAATATGCAGAGAAATTTGAAAATATACAAGTAAAAGCTAGTAATTACTGGAGGGTACATAAAATGCAGGCACTACCTACCTACTAAGAGCTTTATATGTGTTGTCTTATTTAATCATATGTGGTAGGTGGTATCATCCCCATTTTAGAGAAAAGGAAAATTGGTTTCAGTAGGGTTGAAGTAGCTTGCCCATAGTCATACAGTAAGTGGCAAGTGTAACTTGTTTTCAATTCATTGAGTAATTATGATCCTGCAGTTGGATTTGTGAAACTTGAATGAAAACTTATACCAAAGGAGTCTTAGGCCTGTTTGTGGATGTGATAACATTTCCTTTCTAGTACACATTGATGTCACTTTGTGATTCCTATACTGCTAGTGGGGAGAGGAGGACTCCTGTTATGGTGGTGTAGGATCAACATTTGTCTGCTATCCACCCGTCATTGGTTCAAACCCACCAATCACTCATTGAAAACGCTATACAGGGTTCCCTATGAGTCAGAACTAACTCGATGGTACTTAACAACAACAGTGAGGAGAGTTAAGCACCCGGGTATCATAGTGGGTTATGCGTTAGACTACTAAGTGCAAGGTCAGCAGTTCGAAATCACTAGCCACTCCGTAAAACTTTACCACCTCGGACACCCCATACAGGGTCACTGTGAGTGAGAACCAACTTGATGGCACACAGTAACAGTGAGGAGTGTTGACTAGATAGTTAAGGAAGGTTCCAGATAATACAGTGCCCTTATATGCAACTGTCAGAACGTTAAAATCCATAGACATTATCCTTTTGGTTTCTGCTAGGACTTCGTGGGACCCATATGCAGCATGCCTATGACTTTTACAAGCCCGATATGCTCTCTGAGTACCCTATAGTGGATGGAAAACTCTCCATACAATGCTACCTCAGTGCCTTGGACCGCTGCTATTCTGTCTACCGCAAAAAGATCCGTGCCCAGTGGCAGAAAGGTAGGTTTCCTTGGCTTTGGTCTGGGAGGGCAGTGTGATGTGAGGGTGTCTGTAATTAGAAACTAACTTACAGGCTCCCTTCATTACTGTCTTTAGCTGTTTCCTCCTGAGCCACTAAACAGCATTTTCCAGTAGTTTCTGGGACTGTGTAATTTAGGAAAAAAGCCTAGCTTTAGGAAGGAGGTATCTCTGCAAAAATACTTCATTTCATTTACCCATAGTGAGAAAATCAAAAGTGGGGCAAAGAAGGTAACTTCAGTTTTATTTCTCTTTTCATGGTAGGCGGGCGGGGGGGAAGGATGTTTTAACAAAATTTTAGTTCATAACAGTGATCCAGAAAAAAAACAAATGAAAATAATAAATTATTGATCTGATCTATCATGTGAAGCCTCTTGAAATTTGACCTGAGTATGTGAGTTTGCTTTTTTAGTGTCTTCGTTAATTCCAGTCTTTAATCCTGAAAAAAGTTTTGAAGTGCTAAAAAGGACAGTATTTGAATAATACTGTTCTAAAATACATACTATCACATAAAGTATGTTCTTTAATTTATAGCCCAAATTGGTCTTATACAGGGTGTGTGCAAGGGTTAAAAATAATATTTAACAGCATAATGGCTCTGGATTAGAAGCATTTTTGCAGTTTGTAAAATGTCATAACTATTTAATAGTATAGATTTAACAATATAATGAATTTCTAACTCTTTTTGCAAGGACCCATACTAAGAAGTAATTTAAAATTGCACGGGTATGGTAAACTGAAACAAAAGTGTCATGAAACTACTTACTTGTTCTCTGAGCGCTTCTACTTTCTTTTTAAAAGACTGTATTTACAAAGTGATCCTCATTCATTAAATGGATGACATCACCTACTAATGGGCATGCCTCTTGAAGTCTGAAAACTCTTGTAGTGGTGTATAGTGCTCCATCCCTGGATGTCTTTTCAATGTACATTTTAAACGGTAGATTTCATGATATAATGGATATTTGGTTGCTTCGTCATTATGGGCTGTTTAGAGATATGAAAAACATCCTAACCCAACGTCAAATCTCAAAAGTTAGTAGCTTATATGATTTCCATCTTTTTCTTGGACTTTTTTTTCAGAGGGAAATGATAAAGATTTTACTTTGAATGATTTTGGCTTTGTGATCTTCCATTCACCATATTGTAAACTGGTTCAAAAATCTCTAGCTCGGATGTTGCTGAATGACTTTCTTAATGACCAGAACAGAGATAAAAATAGTATCTACAGTGGCCTTGAAGCCTTTGGGTAAGAGGAGCTGTTACGGTTTTGTCTTTCTATCTTAGAGCATATACTGGGAGTCCTGGTGAGGTGCTGTGGATTAATGCGCCAGACTGCAAAGCCATTTGAACTGCAAGGTTGGCGGTTCAAACTCACCAGCTGCTCCTCGGAAACCCTATACAGGGTCGCTATGGGTCAGAATCGACTCGATGGTACTTCACAACAACAACAGTATATCTGGGAGACTATTATCCTGGTGTGGAGCTGTGGGTTAATGTGCTGGTGTGCAAAGTCAGTTTGAACCTCAAGGTTAGCGGTTCAAGCTCACCAGTCACTCTTTGGAAACCCTATACAGGGTCATTATGAGTTGGAACCAACTCGATGGCACTTAACAACAACAACAAAGGACCTAGAAGTCTATCTTATCAGTAAAGAAACTGAGACCCACAAAGGTGTGGCTTACCTGTACTACTTCTTTAGACATCTCTACTTAGATGAGCTTCTGACTTGCTCCTTTTAGCTCCATTCTCATTGCCGAAGTTTATGTTAACAGTTTCTTTACAGAAAAAAAAAAAAAGCTGCTGCTTTTTAGCATGCTGTGGCTAAAACTCATTTTATTTCTCCCTGCCTGTGTCCAAATGGTAAAATCTCCATTTGGTAAAATTCTACCCAACGTTTTTAAGACTTGACTTCTGTAATATTGTGAGTTTTCTGACTTAATAACCATTATTATGGACTTGAAATAGTATTGCAGCTCATTATAAGAAACCTTTTGAAGGGGCTGTGTGTGTGCAACTCTGTTTTCTGTCACAGTTAGCATGCTGCTGGGCATGTTGAAGGATGACTTTGAACTAATGTGAAAGCAGCATCATATACTCACTGATTTGAATATTAATTAGGCCCACTATCTCATAGAATGGAGTCCTGGTGTGGTGTTATAGAAGAAAGCACTAAACTGCAAGGTTGGTTTGAACCACAAGGTTGGTGGTTCAAACTCACCAGCTGCTCCTTAGAAACCCTATACAGGGTCACTATGAGTTGGAACTAACTTGAAGGCACTTAACAACAATCACAATGCCATCTGATGAGATAAAATAATTGACTTTGAACATTGTGAAATTGTCTTTTTATATAAATATTTCAGGGATGTTAAATTAGAAGACACGTACTTTGACAGAGATGTGGAGAAGGCATTTATGAAGGCCAGTTCTGAACTCTTTAATCAGAAAACAAAGACATCTTTGCTTGTGTCAAATCAGAATGGAAATATGTATACATCTTCAGTGTATGGTTCCCTTGCTTCTCTTCTAGCACAGTAAGTATCAATTTCAGCTGTTTAGCTCCACTCACTCTAGGCTGTTAAACATGTTATATTGATGGTAGGTCATAGGTTGATATTTTCAGGGTTTATTATCTGCTGTTGTCCATAAACTTGAAAGGTTGAAGCCTGGGTACTGTTTTCCTGGATTTATTATGCTTGGCCTAGTGTCTTAGTTAACAATCAGAAATGTATTCTCTCACAGCAGAGGTGGCTAGAAGTCCAAATTCAGGGAAGGCGTTCTGTCTTCATCAGCTCTGGAGGAAAGTCCTTGTCTCCTTTCAGCATCTGTGGGCCCAGCATTCCTTTGAGATCTTCATGTTTCTTGGCATCAACCTTTACCTTGGGTCTAGAAAGTTCTTAGTGGGTCCAAAGGATAGGCTTCACTCCTGGCTCTTCTTTGTCGGTAGTGAGGTCCCTTTTCTGTGCTCCCTTCTCTTTCCTTTATCTCTTGTAAGATAAAAGGTGATACAGGCCATATCCAAGGGCAGCTCTCCTTACATTAAATCAGGACTGTGACCTGAATAAAGGTGTTTCATCTCACCTATCTCCTTAAATGGATTGACTAAGCATATCATAGGTTACATTACTCCATAACTGTTGCTGCATCATTACATAACAAAGCACTGAGAATCATGGCCCAGCCAAGTTGACACATATTTTGGGAGAACACAGTTCAATCTATGACAAACCGTAAATCCCAAGTTGAGAAAGAACTTATTTTGTGGTATAATAATGTGTTCATAACGAGTCCTGGTATGGCGCTTTGGGTTAATGTGCTAGACTGCAAAGCCATTTGAACTGCAAGGTTGGCAGTTCAAGTTCACCAGCATCTCCTTGGAAACCCTATACAGGGTCACTATGGGTCAGAACCAACTCGACAGCACTTAACGACAACAATGTGTTCATAAAGTCCATCATTCCCCAAAAGATGAAAACTCTTGTTTTCTGTTTACTGTAATATTGTTGTTGTTGTTAGGTGCCATCGAGTAGATACCGACCCATAGCGACCTTATGCACAGCAGAACGAAACACTGCCCGATCCTGGGCCA